CATTAGAAAGCAAAAGACAAATTGCTAACAAAATGGTATGAAGGGACCACAGTCCCAGATCAATCTTAAGATGTAAAAAAAAAAGCTAAAGACACAGACCCAACAGCTCAATACCTGATTTAGCAATATCATATAAGGACCAGTTCTGCGATCCTCGCAATTTTCCGGACGTTTCAAGTACCATATTGGCATACTTTCGATGAACTTTCCGAATGGCCTCCGGTCCGGCACTAAATGAAACTTAATTCATTAGAAAGCAAAGACAAATTGCTACAAATGGTATGAAGGGACCACAGTCCAGATCAATCTTTAAGATGGTAAAAAAAAGCTAAGAACACAGACCAACAGCTCAAACCTGATTTAGCATATCATATTCAATATTTATTTAATTTCTACTGATCTAAGCACTCAAATCAACCAAATCCAAATCCAATGAAGTCTTAAGATACCCAAAAACAACTTTCATGAAGTACACAAGACATAATCATACCATTTTAGTGGGCAAAATGGGCAATTAATTTTGTTATACAAGTGGGTTGGCATGAACCAGCTTTGGTATTTAAATCATAAATTGAGCTATAAGTATCCAAATTGGATATAAGAGCATCGATTGGCAAGCTAAGAAGTAGACCTACAACTTCAATGAAGAGTTAGATACTGATGGAAAATAGAATTGAAAATTAACAAAAATGAAAAAAAGAATGAGAGATTACAGTGCACTAACCTTCAAAGCAAGCTTAGAACACCTGAAAATCACCAAATCAAACCTTAGTCTTGTCTTTATCCAACTTAGATAGCTCACCTTGTATTAACAAGAGAAAATCCCCAAATAAACTCAAAATCCAAACCAAAAAGTATAGAAAAATGCTATGATAATGAGAGGATCCAAAATCCCTAATTAATTCTAGAAATCAAACTCAAAATCACAAAATCCACTTACTTGATCTTGTACAACTTCCAAATGCTTGAACTCCATAAGTTAGAATCTCTAAATAAAGCTCCAATCTTCCAAAACAATCAACAGCCTTAGGTTGTGTAGATTTAATTTAAGTGATTACTTTGTAAAAAAATCAAAAGAAAAAGAAGAGGGGAGGAGCTAGAGAGGATTCACCATACGGATAAAGAAGGAGGAAGGTGAAATGGGGATGGAAATGTGCTATGATAATTGTTATAGCATGAGGGGGCTTCTTTTGTTTAATGGCATAATGGTAATTATAAAAAACTTCCTTAGGAAGTTGCTGAATGAAGGGTGGAGATTTGGCCAAATCATTTAAATCTAATGGCTAGGATTTCATCGTACAACAACTTCCATAAATCATACTTTTCTCCACCATATTTATTAAAATTATTCAATAATATAAATCTTTAAATTTTCTAATTTCTAAAAATACCCCAAAACACTATTTACCCATAATTAATTAATCATGAAAAATTTATATTTTAAATTAAATTAAATTATGACTAATCATATATAGTCTAAATGAAATTCATAAATATTAATTATTATTAGTATCACTTTCGGGGGTAACAAAATATTATTTTTCTCTTGGGCGGTACCATTCAGACCGGGTAAAATAATATTATTTTATGATCCAAAATTCTGAGGCATTACAATTCTAGCTCTTTTAAGAAAATTTTGTCCTCGAAAAAGAATTGAATGAAATACTAAAAATCTTATAGTTCCCTTTTATCTCCATTTAATTCTCCATGAATAGACTAATACTTAACAACCTTATGATCTATGTAGAGTTCTCCATAATCAATTATCCATATACAGGAAAAATTATCCCATATCAAGATTTCCAAATTCAATAATCATACCATAAACTCATCATTCATGCAAAATATATAGATGCTCCTAATCTTCTTTAAATCTCTACAAGAACCACTTATGAGCATATCTTATCCCCACTAGAAAACAATCCAAACACAATGCACAAAGATCATGAGTTATGCTTAAAGGTCCAACAAACGAACCCATATAATCAAGTCACAAAGAACATGCATTTACTCATCAATCCAAACATATATATATAGCACCTGCTTAAATGCAAGGGTAAAGTCTACACATATGAATGCAACAAGATGACATTAATGCAATTCATATCCACTTGCTCATTTATTCAAGAAGGTTTGATAAATAATAGCAAACAAAATTCATTAAGCCATATCATACTTCCAAAATCATAGTTATTTCATATAACCTCATAGATCTTTCATGTCTTGTAAATAACTCTTTTAAATATTATATCAATCCTTTCATTTTATCATGATTACTTATGTATCTTTGATCATTTTGGCATAAAGGTTTTTTTTTTTTTTTTTCATGTAAGCGTAATAAGATCACCTCAAACTATATATATATATATATATATTACAAATTCACACCTAAACAATAAAATCCCAAAATATACATACAAGTCTATAGCTTTATACTCATTATTTCCATTTCTATTAATTCTTAGAAATCATGGGTTCCTAATTTAATAAAAAAAATCACCAATTAATTATAACCAAAATTTTAAATTTCATCTGGATAATGAGAAGTCATACTTCTTCCAACTTCCATAGTTGGTTCTTTTCTTAATGTTAACATTCTAACATGACCATATTTATTCTCACTTATCTAATTCATTGACCTAAGCATCAATTCAATAATAGAACAAATTATCTCTTCATGCTCATTGTCATTCATTAATTCTTTTGATCCTCATCGCACCAAATTTATATAATATTTATCTTAAATTTTCTTAAAGAAATCGTTCACTTTTCTAATATCACAGAATCTCACATAAAGTCAATATCTTTGCATATAACTTACATAATAACCAAGATTCAATAGGTACTCTAAAAATCAAAAGACAAATTTTATGAAATTTAATTTCTAATTATACCATAGTAAAACATAAGGTGTCATAATCACACAAGCTCCAATATTTGGCACATAAAGAGTTAAATCAATTTATTTTCCAATAAAAGTCCTACTTTAGCTTTCTTATAATTACATCAATTTTTATCATCCATAATATCCATATGTCTCATAACTGACTCATGAAAAATTAAAATATACTTTACTCCACAAGATATTATTATTTCCAATAAATAGTAGCCATTTCCCATATCCAAAGTGAATGACATCAAAACATATATCACTTAAGTCTCATGAATTACATTTGAGCAAGTACACTACATACACCTTTTTAATTCACCAAAAGAAGAAGTTATCCTTAAAATTATACTAATCCTCTAACCAAAATCCATGCAAATCTCATAAAAATTCATATACTAGGATCACACCATAATATATTAAAAGTTTATCCTCTAACCAAAATCCATACGATACTTATTTTTATCTCTTTATTGGAGTTTAAGGGCTAAGGGTATTTTCATATTAAAATTTTATTCTCTCTTAAAACCATGTTTTTGGCATTGACCGGTAATTTTTTTGGCTAAAAATCGTACTGAAGGACCGAGTAGTATAACAAAACCGATATGTAGGGATATTTTAATGTATATTTAAAAAATGAAGCTTGACTAATTAATTATGGAATTTTGCAGGGACGTCATAGTAATTATCTCTAAAATCACAATGTCAAACTTCTCATGTCAATATTTATAAGAAGCTTGCAAACTTTCTTCTCATTTCCTAGAAGGATAAACCCTCAATGTTGCTCCACAGGGCCGGATACAGTATAGGGGCACTCGTGGCACTTGCCCCCATACCCTCATGCAATCTTTTTAAAATTTGTATATTAATAATTTTGAAATTTAATATTATTTCTGTTTTTCCCCCACTTAAGTATTTTTATTTGTCCGTTCATAATTTTTCACTATATTAACTAATTTTAATTTAATATTCTATTTCTTTTGTGTACAAAGAATAATTTATACAATTGAATTGGATTGACCTATATAGATCTATCAACTGAGCCTAGATAAGTTTAGTCCTAATGAATTTTTTAAAATTTATTATTTAGCTTTTAAATCTATAAAAATTTTCATAACAGAAACATTTTAATTTGTTTTGCATTGATTTTAATTTGTGTGATTAATTTATTTATTTTTAAATAAAACTATTCATTTAATCTAAATGTCAAAATAATCAACTCCCCCTTTGGCTTCTCTTAGATATAAAACCATGTGAATCCTGTTAAAATTCAGGATGGGATGAATTTTGGTTAAAGCCAACAATATCTTACATATCTAAATTTTATAATTATTTGTACAAATATCTGTTTCCGAAAAAGATATGATAACTAAATCTTTAAAATGTAATTATTTGAAGAGGTGTTTAAACTTTTATCTCTTCTTTGGAGTGGATACAAAAAATTAAAGGGGAGGTAGCCCAACAAGTCAAAAGAATTTAAATTTTTAATTGGGGAGAATTATAATTATATCTTTATATTTTAACCAAATTAATTACTCTATCTTGTATTTTATTAATTATTTTATCTTATATTTTAGAAAATACACTACTATATATACATTGGCATGTATTTTCGTCTAATTTTTGCATTTTTAGACGTTAAAACCCTATGAAATGACAATGTTAATCCTAACTAAAAAAGACACCACAATTAAGAGGGAAATGCTTCTCACTTTTGCCGATCATTTTGAAAGAAGAAAATCCAGAGAAACGCAAGAAATTTTCATGGATAAGAGGAAGTGATTATAGTGAAAAGCATATTATTGACATATATCTCATTCTCTCATTGGAATGTCAAATATTTTATTAGCTTGCTCTTTGAAAATGAAAATAATGAATAGAAGCACATAGTTATTGTAACGACCTAAACCATAGGTGTAGTGTATTTTCTAAAATGCAAGGATGGAGCAAAGAGATACAACTATAATTTTTTCTTTTTTAACTTTCAAAAAAATTAGTTCAATTTGCCCATGCACCACTTAAGCAAAATTATGCAACTCATCCCACGCGAACATGATTAATCCAAGCCAAGTAAACATTCATTCAATTTTATTTTCAATAAATGAGCATGATATCATATATATAAACATTCTTTTTCTTTTTTTCAGCAAAAAATTCTAACCAGATACACTTAATAAATAAAAACACAATGCCAAACTTAAGTTAATCTACCATTTTTTTTTCCTGCACTATCTACCACAATCACTTACACACTGGACTATACACTATCAAGGCAACTGAGAAATATAATTAAAATTAACTTAATAAATTCAGCTAAAAAAATCAGAGGGGCTAACGCTCAATTCATACAGATTATTTTTCCTTGCCCTGTGTGATGTTAGTACTGCTAAATTACTAATGTACATAGAGATGGTGTTGGCCTACAAAATTTGGGGGGGAAGGTTCTATAGGCTGCTTTCACTAAAATGATTGCACTGTGGGTTCCTCAATGTTAAGAATGGTAGATGTCTTCTGATGAATTCAGGCCGTGAGAACAGGTTCTTTCTTTCATTTTCCCCCCAAAAGAATACATGTTTTGACAGAGCTACCTGATCATTATACTTTTCAGAAACCAAATGGTGACCTTCTCCGGCTTCCGCCTTCTCCATATTGTTCATTCCATTTCCTTAGTTCATTCATGCTTGTAGCATCATAGGCAACTGATGGACCCACCTACATACAGGAAACATATACCAATTTGACAATTAATATTTTTCTCAAACAAGATTAAACACATAATTAGTTGTAGTATCAAAACCATAAATACTTGAGCCAAAATTCAAGTTGCAAACAGAATGTCTAACCCACATATTGCCGAACAAACTAAAAAAGCAAGTACAGCACCAGGTATAAACCATGAACTAAATAACGGTGAAAGCCGGAATATGATCATTTTGCTGATTACATGTGATCAAAATAAATGGTAAATACACATGACAAAGTCGCTACGGACTTCGGCAAACAAAGCAATTGTTCTTCACAGTATAATTAATGACTCTGATAAAAAATTCAGAAAAATTCAGGAGCAGTCAATATGCAAGGTCAATTGATCATTACTGTTGCGCATTAGACTAAATGGAAATAATTCACTGCTGACAGTACTAGTAGTAATTAAATTCAACTATTACCTTTGTCTTTGACTGAACAAAATCATCCAAACTAAGTGGCCTTAAAGCTGAAGCAACACCATCCTTGTAACCCTATGGGGGAAAAAGCAACCAATACATCAGAACATAAGCAGAAGGGCGTAAACAGCCTTAACCATAGACAAAATATGCAAATTGTCCCCACAGCAAATATAACTTGTTCGCATGTTCCCATTGATCATAAAATGCTTTTATACATTTACTATTCTGCATGCAGAAACAAAGCTCTTTGCCCCATTTTCAGATTGAAATAAACATGAGAAAATTCAAGAGCAGAAACATCATTGCAACTAAGATTAAACTATAAAATTAAGCACTTTGTCCAGTGCAGTCACTCGAACAAACCCACTTGGAAGTATGGCTACACCCTCTACAGAAGCATTGATGGGACAAGAATACACATCTTCAACACATATTAGATAGAAAATGTACCTTCCTTTCCTCTTCTAGAAGTTCCTGGACTGGTCTATATGCTGCAGCAATACAGAGGTTCTACAAAACAAGCGTATAACAGTATGAGACATTAGAAAATGATTATCTCAATTTAATCTAAAAAGCTTATTTGTTATAAATGATTTGCATAAAATTTTTGAAATTCATTTAACATATATTCGTGTTTCGTATAAATAAAAATTTACACTTTCTACCTTTTTAATTCTTTGGATTTAGTTATACTTGAACAAAATTCTACCAAAATTCATAAAAATTTGCAAATGAAGTCTAATTTTAACAAGATACAAGCCAATGAACTCAAAAGTACAGACATTAAAGTTAGCTTTTTGTTAATGAATTCTATAACTAATACAAACATGTAAATTCATTAGAAATTATTTTTTAATGAAATTCATTTGCAAATGAAAAGCATTCTATATGGATTTATTCCAAACGGTACATGACTATTGGTACATTACCTTCAAATCACTGCCAGAATATCCCTCGGTTGCACTTGCGAGTTTGTCAAACTGAAAATCAGGTTCCAAATTCTCTTGAGCAAGAAATATTTTCAGAATCTTCATTCGGTTTTCAGCATCCGGTAGGTCCACATATATCCTAATCAGTAAACCAAATATTATCACATAAGCAATATTATCATTAGCATAAATAGAGAAAATTTTGAAAAAGAAAAAAATTTCGACCAGACAGAACACTAGGATTCATGAGTGATTTTACATGGAAAGGACTGCCAAGTCTATATTCCATAACACTACTAAGAAAGACATTTCCTTATGTGATCTCACCTTCTCGGTAAACGGCGAATTACAGCATCATCAAGATCAAATGGCCGATTTGTGGCACCAAGGATGAGAATTCTTTGGCTGTCTTTTGTCCTCAATCCATCCCATGCTGCCATAAATTCATTTCTCATTCTTCTAGTAGCCTCATGCTCAAAAGAACCACCACGAGCACCAAGCAAACTGTCCACCTATATAGACATAATCCAGCAAACAACATTTTTCCAAATGTAATAGCAATTTTGAACCATAATGTACCAAATAAGCAATCTTGTTTCAAAATATCAAAGCAAAAGACTGCAATATATGTTGTCAAATTTACCACAACTATGAAGAGAATAACAATAGTATTTTCCAAGCACCATTTTATGAATTTATCACGGAGATATCTACAGGCACATGATTGAGCACAGCAGTAGCATATACAATCCATTTCTCTACATCATTAACATTATATGCGCTCTAAGCATACTTTTTTCTATGACACTTTAATAATTTATCCTAGTGATAAGCAATTACTTCTGATCTGATTGACATGTGTTTAGAAAGTTTAATGAGACAATTTTAGGAGAACTGAAAAGAGAAGACAAGGGATCAATGGTGGATAATTTGTTTCTTTCACATATTTCAGTTTCAGTATTGGGTGAACTTTTAGCTTTCTTTATTCCTTTTCTTGGATCTTGCAATGGAGTAAGAATTTCTCATGCCACTTCATTTTTTTAATAGTGTACTTATTTCTATTTTCATGCAATCCTATGATACATTTACATATTATAAAGTCCAATTAAACTTCATATATCTATGCACTTGACACATATATAGGCACTTCATAGCACAAGCTCAAGGTGGATTGTGATTTTAGTGAAATGTATGTTCAAATTTTGAACAATATGGTGTAATTTGCCCATATTTTAATGAGAGAGAGAGAGAGAGAGAGAGAGAGAGATTCACCTCGTCAACAAATATAATGACTGGAGCCAGTTTGCAGGCAAAGGAAAATAAAGCCTTCGTAAGCTTTTCAGCATCTCCAAACCACTATGGGAAGAAGAAAAGGAAAAGTAAATATCATATATACAACCAAAGTAAATATGGAAAATTTTTATTACAAAACATAAAAACTCTCAAATGCTTTTGTGTTCCTATCATTAATGGAAGATAAGTAAAAAAATTAACTAATCATCTTCTCCTATTTTATGATTCCTGTATATTAATTTTTTCCAAGACCATGCAGTTTGACTGTCATGCAGAAACACCAATACATATGTTTCGCGTTTTGGGTTTCATATACATATTGGGATTTCATCATTTGAAGTCATTGTTGAACTAATGTTGACAATAATTGCAATTTCTCGACCTCCCATTTATTTACCATCACAAAACTTCATAATATTGCCTTCAAATGATTGCTTATACTTGAAATATATCAGGATGTTCTTTTATCCTACGAGTTACAAGCTTATAATGAAGGCTTTCTTAGTCATCAGAATTACAAAGAAAGTCAGCAAATCACTAAGACAATATAATTGATTAAAACTGATTAGTTCAGGATATTTTTTCTTTTTATCTGAACAATTTTTTTATACAGATTGCCTTTTGGATGGAAGGATTGGTTCACCTTAGAAATCTATATTTGGTTAAGAAAAGAAACCAAATAGGTCAAAAGGAACCACTGTTGTACTTATTGGCGATTATTTAAGGACAGGAATGACGAAACTTCAAATGTGCGGTAAGTTACTAGAAAAATTTGACAAGGTATCATCTTGCAAAAGTCATGAACTTGTATATCAGAATCAATGCAATAATTAAAACGAGGAATTACTTTAGCTTGACAGAATGTTCGTACTCCCTTCTACCAAGTAACAGAACAGAATTTTAAACTCTTTAACATTTTTAGTGAATCTTTACCTTCCCTAAAAGAGAGGGAGTTGTTTTACATGCACTGTTATTACTGAAACCATTCCAGATAAATGTAAACAGATAATGAAAAAAAACGTGTCTGGGATAAGGAATTGGATCACAGAGAAAGTCAATATTCAAAGAACATGACACAGCATTTCGCATACCTTTGATGTAAGAGTTGAACCAGTTATGCTGATAAAGTTTGCACCAGCCTCTGTTGCAAGTGCTTTGGCAAGAAGGGTTTTCCCAGTTCCAGGAGGCCCAAAAAGTAATATTCCTTTGCAGGGCTGAAAAAACTTGAGACAATCATATACTGAAAACAATCTCATTGATTTTCAATCATAAAATTTATGAATAAAATCATTACCCGCAGCAAATTTCCATGAGAAAAAAGCTCTGGTCTCCTCATAGGAAGAATAACAAGTTCATTCAATGCCTTCTTTACATCTTCAAGAGCACCTATATCATCAAACTTGACACCAATTTCACCAGGAGGCACCACAGCTGAAATGAAGTTGCTCTCGTACTCATCCTTTGCAAGGTTCTGCTGAAATTTCAATCTATTAGAAATAAAAGAATAATTACAAAAGTTTAAACAGCTCTAAAGAATCAAAAGAGTAAATCGCAACGCATGCCTTCAAATTTAACGCCGTCTTTTGAGATGATGTTTCTTGCTCCTTCCACCTCATAATTGCAGTTTCAAGGCTTCAAAATAAAAGACAGCAATAAGAATCAAGATGATAAAATATTGACCAATGTAACAGCGTAAATATTCATACCTTTCACGAGGCAAAATCAATCTTTCTCCTTTTATGGATGGAACCAAGCAAGATGACAGGTAATGATTCTTAGCCCAACCAACAATTTTTTCAGCTTCTGCAACAAAAGAAAACATATTGTCATCATTTGTGCAGTTGAACTTCTCAATTCATTATTAGCTTGATTACTTTTTTTCCCCAAAAGACAGTAACCATCATGAGTTTCATACTTGATATTTTAATTTTAGCTTTTATGATGTTTTCTTAGATAGATTAATTCAATGAAGACAAAACTCATGAATTAGCATTACAACTTATTTGAGTATAAACTAGAAATACTCATTGAAAAGGTTTCATTTCAAACTCGTCTGCTAAGATTTGGTTTCAGAATGTTTATCTACCACCATTTCAAATCTTTTGCAAGGAAAAGTGTTTTTTGTGCCTATAAGGACTTGATTATGTAGCTATTCTTATAGGCTTTCAACTTTGAGTATCAGAATTAAGAGAATTTAATGTTTTGTGAGGTACCGTACAAATGGTTATTTTCTAAAATCATGCTACAGGTGAATCTGGAGAAGTACACTTATTTATTTCAATTTGCAGTTCAATAACTAAAATATAATTCAAGGCATGAATTCTAGAAGTTAACAAACTTAGGTGAGACTAGTCTATCTATAACAAGATTTTGTTTTTTCAGATCTACTTTTTCATCCTATCCACTCGCTGGGATTAATAATTTAATATCCCCATAATATGTAGTCATTTTCTAAAATCATGCTACAGGCAGAGTTCAACTACAAAAGTACACTTATTTTGGCATGTGATGAGCCAATCGCTGACAAAGTAAGTTCAATGGATCACTACAATTTGGCCTTGCAATTAAATACTAAACAATAATTCAAGACATGATTTCTAAAAGTTAACAAACTCGGGTGAGACTAGTCTATCTGTAACAAGAGTTGTTTCTTCAATCCTCCTTTTTCATCGTATTCACTCATTAGGATTGATATCACTATAATATGCAGTTTGTTTGTCTGTCTTTCCATATCAACCTTTTCTTTTCCTAGTCATTGTGAGTACATTCATTACCAATACCAAAACAATCATCATATTGAAATGTGGAAGCAACATTGTGATCATAATCTGAATTGATTAAAACAGGATATAGTTTCTTACTCCGCTTTGTCAGTACTACACCATCACTATTTACATGCAATAGATCCATGCAAGACATTTCATTTTCTTCAAGAACCTGCAGTTATATACATCAGTTAGTTACCAATCAAATTTCAACAATGCACAACAGGACATGCAACAAATTGCTTAGAACAATTTGCAATTAAACCAAAACCACTCCACATAAAAAATTGCAATAATTCCATGAGGCCTTCAACTCCATACCTTATATAGTTCATTTAAATTGCTCCTAGATATTACAATTCTCCTGTCCTCTTCAATCTGTTTATTGAATGTTCTAAGAAGATCTTCCTCCTGCAAAAGCAGCAAAAAATCGATATCAATCAACAAGATACACAACCCACAAAAGACTAAAAGAAAAATATGTAAATTACATTATAAAAGATCATAGAAAACCCAATTCTTTAGACAGCGTATGTGGTTTGATAGCAATAAGTTCTTCCCACATCATAATGTCCATAATTGAGATAAGTTTCAATTGTAGTTTCACTGTATATTATTGTTGCAAAAAGCATGATTCAGCATACTAAGCCCAACTCACCAAGCAAAAAAGCTTTTAAACCTCAAAACAAAATTTGTTCACATTGAACAGTCATGGAAAAAGAGAAAGCAACAGGGAGTTCCCAAACAACATAGAGAAAGCAATTCCTTGGTGTGTGGAGTTCACAAACAACATAGTTTTAGTAAAGAAAATGTGAGTCAGAGTCAACAGAGTTTAAATTGAAAAAAAAAAAAAAAAAAAAAACAGAGGTTTAAATTGAAAAAAAAAAAAAAAAAAAAGCAAAAAAAAAAAAAAAAAAAAAGCACCCTTAGCCTCTAATGCTACGTTTGGCAAGCCATAATGGAATCGAATGCAATGTAATCCAGTGAATTTGTGGTGTAAGTTTGCACTCAAATTTATTTGATCATATTACAATGCATTCCATTACGACTCACCAAACCTATCCTTAGAGTTTGAGTTTCAAGTATATTAGAACAAAAACAGAGTATACACGCTGCTATTTAGCAATGGGAAAAAAAGGCTATCAAAGTGGGATGGGTTAGCTGAGATGATGTAGAAGTTATGCAAAGCACATATTTCAAAAGCTTGGACTATCATACAAGGAGATAAAGAGCAGCAAACTCTGCTTGCTATTCTGGCAATAAACAGTTCAGCTCCAATAAAGGTATTCCACACCATTCAGTCAGGAAAATTCTAGCAACGATTAAGAATCTTCCAGAATAAACTCAACAAACACTATTGAGGAATTGCCACAAAGATGAAGCTCTCGATTGAATTAAATCACCTCATCTTGGAGCTTCAAACTCCATTGGCTCTCAATTGCAATGGCACAATAAAGAATGACTTTTTCCTAATTACAAGAAGCATAGCAATGAGGACACCAATAAAAACCAACATTGACAAGATGCGTCGAGGTGGTGAGAAAGAACAGGTGAAACCTTTGTACAATGGCTCCAAAGATTGTGAGTAATCCCTTTCGGCATCTAATAAATAATGGGAAGAAGCTTCAACCATTCTCATAAAAAAGCTCTAACACCTAACCCATCAAAACAATCTCTTTCCCTTCCTAAAATAAGGTATTTTGCATCTCCACCCTTCTTAGATCACTGCCAACTGTCAAGCATCAACTGAATGAAAGGGGGAGGGAAACATATTGAATTCACCCAACAAAAGCATCAGAACTAACATTTCTGACCTAGTTATTTAACCTAGCATAAACCAAACATCACTTTCAATTTATATTTTAAATCGCTTGATAATACTTACCTTTGGGGGATCTACAGACAAAACATTAGTGAAGAGCTTATATATTTCGTTGTCATCAGGCCTTTTTGTCGCTCTGAGTCCCTCAGTAAGGCGCTTCAATGAGAGAGGCTGGAGGATATTAACAGTTCGAGTTAAATGCTTAGATAGAAGGAAGGAAAAGGGAAGGAAAGGGAGAAAAAGGGGGGCACGGGAAGGGGACAAGCTGAGAAATTGCCATATATACATATGTCACATTGAATGTCTCAAAGCATAACATTCTCAAAAATTTTACAAGACGTACCAGCTTAGCAAGACGGCCAAAATTTGGGAGTATCATTGTCTGTTTAAATTGAAAGGGAAAAGAGTTACTTTCAGGTTATAAAAAATGAAACAAATGCTTTCAACATGCATGCATATGCCATAGTATTGAACTTTTGAAGCTTACAAAATTTTCTTTCTCCTTTGACCCTGTTTCAACTTTGTTCTGGCCACATATCAAAACAACTGGGCCTGATATTTGGTCAAACATTTCCTGCACCTTATGTACGAAATAGCTGCGATTCGACTTGGGAACTGCTCTAGACAACCACAGGGAAGAATCTTGAAAATACACAATCAAGGGTTGCACGGAATGCAAAACCTGCAGATAGAAGGAAGAAGCAAGAGTGAAACAAGAATACTCTGAACTTTTGAAGCTTACAAAATTTTCTTTCTCCTTTGACCCTGTTTCAACTTTGTTCTGGCCACATATCAAAACAACTGGGCCTGATATTTGGTCAAACATTTCCTGCACCTTATGTACGAAATAGCTGCGATTCGACTTGGGAACTGCTCTAGACAACCACAGGGAAGAATCTTGAAAATACACAATCAAGGGTTGCACGGAATGCAAAACCTGCAGATAGAAGGAAGAAGCAAGAGTGAAACAAGAATACTCTAGTTGGATATAAACGTGAAGTTAAAAGCATACCTCACATAAAGCCTCCATTGCAATGTAGCAATCTTCTGCCTCAGTGTCAGGATCATGCTCAATCTCCTTAACTATAAATAAGAGGAACTCCTCAGAATATTTATATGTAAGCAAAAAATACTCATGTTTGAAGTTACAGTTGATCTAATTTTAATTTCTCAAATATGTCTTAAAAAAATATAATACAACAAATTAGGAGGCACATCCTATCATAAAGAAAGAATAACATACAACACCGACACTACTATTTAAAATAAGAAGAAAAAGAAGGCCAATGCCTCGGATCTGATATATCAAAAAATTCTGATGGAGGACTTCTTCAGACTCATACTTAGAAGTCAGAAATAAAAACCTTTATGACTTGAATGCCAGAAAATTTCCCTTCCTCTATCCTCATTTCCTTTTTCTAAACCATAAAAATATAAGAACTGCATGCACAAAAATGTAACAAAAGGAACTCACAATATTCAACCTAATTTCTATAATATAGTTATGTAAGAATGGAACAGATAATATGAAATTTAAAAGCATATCCAGAATATGATAAGCTTCACAACTCCAACCATATTCTCACTTAAAATTATCAGTAAAGAGTAGAAAACATAACCATGTAATTGCTCTATTTTTCTAAACGGTTAATCTGCATTTTTTTTTTTTTTATTATTTCTGCAGTGTCTGCATCTGGAACATTGAAAAGCATTTCTTTAGCTTACATTGGAAGGCTGGGAGAGTAGTTTTGCTCTAGATAGTTTCTTGCAGCAGTTCTTTTTTTTTTTTTTTTTCTTTTTCAAATAAATCATTTCTCCCATGGGACACCTATCATCCTTATTGTACTCTCTCATTTACTATCTTAATAAAATTTCCTCCATTCATAAAAACATGCATTTGCACGGTTCAAACTATTTGCAGGGGACAAGCAATTCAAAAGAAAGCAACAGTGAAGAAGAAATACATTTGAATTCATTTGCTATTCCAGCTAACCAAATGGGGAAAAAGTTATGCCCTTTCCTTTTGTCTATGTATGTAGAACTAGAAAGATTTAACAAAAACAATAAATAGGGTAACATGTCATCTGCAAGTAACAAAATATTGTTTTTAACTCTTGATATAGCAATTTCACATGTCCAGATGTTCACTGCAGATCCAACTCAATTTTTCATGCAGGTGAAATAAATTTTTTTTTTTCCCATTTACGTGATTAATAATCATTGAAACAAGCAGTTACCATCTATCCAATAAACTGGTGCTTTTGCAGCCTGCTCTTTAAGCTTCTCATCACTCTCTTTACTTTCTTTGCTATCACTAGTGACGTCCAAAATAACAGCAACTCGATCTCCATTCACCTCATATACTTCCCCACGTTGACCACTTGATAAAGGCCTGAAAATGTAATAAACTTCTATTAAACTGCAGATGTTAATATCATAATGCAGGAAATTTGAAAATATCCACAATGTGGTTTCGCTCGAGTATTGTGCTTCCATAGGTGATGTTCAAATACACTTGGCATGTAGTCCAAGACTCGATGTTTAATCTTCAAAGAAGTTTCATAGCATTTAAAAAGTCTGAATAACTTCAAGTCTCTAGTGGTATGCCAATTTCAAAGATAGATAGATTAACACAAACAATTGACAGTAATGATGTCCACATTGCATGACTCAAACAATAGCATCTAGAGACTATTCATAAGAGATGCTGAAAATTGAGAATTCCTATTTAAAATAGACAATTCATCAAAGATAAAGCCTCAGAAAATCATACGAATCTTCAGGGCATCAATCTAAAGTTAACAATCTAACCACAATAAAAGAGTACACAAAATGAACACAGACTGACCAGAAACATAAATTCACTTGTTTAAACCACAACACTTTTGAGAACAGACAGTGTCATTAACAATGGTAATTATGATCATACACTATCATCCAAATATATAATAAAAGTAACATTTTTAACTATATCTGTGCACATGTTCGCATAAATCATGTTTCTATAGTCAAGACAAAAACTTGTGGTTGTATTTATCTAGGTATGTAACATTCTTTCCAGTATGCTTGTTTAGAAAAATTAACAGAAACAGGAGACAGAGGAAGGTTAGAGAACAAAAGGAAAACTTTAAATAAGATAGGGAGAGATTCAAGGTGCATTAATGTCATAAATGAAAGGGTGTGGAAGTGGTGTTCAGCAACACAAATGATGAATTTTGGTAGATTATGGACAATCGAGCCTAGTGATAGTAATCTCTGCTAGTAGGAGCTCACTAGTGGTAGGCTTTTGAGGCACGCCTTTCTGGTGCCTTGTGCCCGCCGCACCTATTGGAAATTGCATTCCAGATCCCAGTCAAGGCACTAGGGCAAGCAAATTATTCACCTCTCACTTCAAGCACACTTTTAGCAACAATGAAACACCATATGAAGGTCTTACTATTTCTTTCTCAACGTTTTTCCATCAGCATTGAGAAAAATTACTTCCATAAGAAGCTTATAAAAATAAAAATACAGAAACAAATGTTTCTTTTACTAGATACCTTAACACAAATGTCTGCATGTATGACTAATGCATGTTTCTAAAGGTTCAAAACCTATATGTTGGCTTTGATTTGATTAAATACACGCATCTTGCCATCTTTCTCCACAGAATCTATTCTTTGAACTTCTAACTTCACCTTGAAAGTCAGTAGCATATAGCAATAAAAAGATGACAAAGGCTTTCAAATCACATAGCACTCAAGAAATTGTCCACTGAAACGAAATTATCATATACAGTAGGAAAATTGATGAATCTTTAATTATAGGTGGGGATGTAGGATGATTGTCAGTTTAAAGAAAATTACCATGAATGCCTGGGTAATCGATGGATATTTCATTCCAGTTGGGAAATATAGAGAATTGTAGGATAGCATGCAATTTACCTTTTAATAACCTTTAGAAATTAATTAATACACATACACTTTCTAGAAAGTATCAGGATAGGATTAATTCAAAATAGTGGAGAAAAAGAACAAGGCAAGGCAGGCAAGGACCACCCTTATTTCTGTAGGACTTAAATTAATAATCCACCCACAAAGGGCATTAATAATGCAACATAAGATCACTACAAATAATACGATGTTAACACACTAGGAGCCACCATGGATACTTGATTGAAAATGAAGAGCCATAAACAATGTAATTCCAATAAAACGCCAACCCTAGAATGAACATTTTGCATTTTCTAGACATCAAGACAACTTACCAACCTACCTGCCACGCATAATGGTATAAGCATTTTTCAGACCATGAGATGTCGGTATCTTGCCCAATATGATCCTGTGATGTCAAAGTGTATGTGATGGATGAGTTTGTGCTACATGATTTTTGAAAGACCATGGACAAGACCCTCCCATCACATGATTGCAAGCCAATATACCCAATTCAAACTAATTAATAGCTTAGCAGTCTGAATTCCAAATTTCAGACAAAATTTGCAAGCTTGGATGTAATACATGACATACTCTTTACAATAAACAGAAAAGGAAAGACCTATCCTGATAATGCATACAAAACTCAAGAGCATTAGGTTGAGAAATAGAAAAATGATTAAACAATACAAAGCAAAATCCCAAAAGGTAAGAACAATTGCATCAACAGTTGTATCAATGATGACAAGACAATACAGAGTAGCAAGTCAAACAACATATAAGAAGTAGCAAGAAAAACAGGCATATACAAAGTAGCAGCTCAAATACTTAAGATTTGTCATACATCCTGCAATAGACACTACACATTCATTTACGTATAATGCTCTGTGATTATATTACCACAACGCTCCAGCTCACTGGCCAGCAGGCACCAAGGCATGCAGCCAGAACACAACCACTCAACCAACCCAATCTGAACCATGTGCAATAAAGTTGTGTGCATTTCTTGTTGAATATTTCATTGTAATAAACTAATCTCAGTAGTTGTAAAGCAGCAGATCATATTCCAAATTTATAAAACTTTTAACCTCTTTGCCAAACTACCAAATTTGATGGGGTAAGATGATATTAGCTATTACATTGAGCTATACAGAATTAACAAATTGATTCTAAATATTAAATTTTTTCAACACATTAACTCTTGTAGAACAAAGCCAAATACCTGTCATTAGCTTCAATGCATACAGAAGGCCCAATATACTTCACACGATCACCTGGTGAAAGACGACGTAACAAGAACACATTTAAATGAATGAACAGAGAAGATGATGATAAGTCTAAAATTAAGACTACTTCAATACCCATATCAGAAATCCCCCAAGTAGATCTAATATTTCTGTGAATTTAAATGATATAATCAACTTAAAGTTCCATTGGTTAAATGCTGAGATTTGGATTTGATAAAAAAGACATAATAATCATCTTAAATGAAGTGGCTCCACTGGGGCCATAAATAATTCAAATTCATTACAACAACATGTTTCTACCTCCACTCCAATCATGCAAGTAGGCAACCACTTACTGTGGTAGCAAATCAATACAGAACTAGCACTCTATCAACTTCCAGGACTTTGCAGCCAACTTAATTATAAACATAAAAATCTAAATACTATGAGAACACAAAAGGAGATAGAGGGGAGAATAAGCAAGATATAACCTAAGGCATCATATGCCCAAACAGATGAAATGGAACAAGGGAAGCTTCAAAGCACATAAAAGTCCTCCCAACAGATAATACAGGATTGCCTTTACACATAACCAAACCATTAGAACATTACACGACAGATGCATTGCCAGAACATTTATGCAAGTAAACCACCATGCATTTTCAACAGGCAGGACAAGAAAACTAAGGAAGTACACCAAGGAGGGTGAGGGATTATCCTAAAAACTCAAAAAAAGTAGCACCTTAATATTCTCAGAATGAACAAACTTGTGAAGCATGTAAGTTCTTAAATGGAAAATAGAGAAGAAAAGGTGGTCAGCAAAAGCTGCCCAAGAAATGTTACCCTTCTTAAGTGGCCGTTTAGGGGTATCAGAAGGATTAGTATCCGCAGACTTAAAGGTTTCTGTGGAACTGTCAGATTCTCCAGAGATTCTCTGCCATGAAAGCAATTTCAAAAGCATAAATTAGATCATAATTTACAGTTTATTACAAGTAGTGAAAAACAATTCAATATGCAAAATAATTGTTCCAAGCCCCAGAAAATAAATTTCCCATATTGACAAGTTGGTGAGAAAGGGGTGAGATCAATTTATATCAAATATCAAATAATTAATAATTAGAATACAAAAGCATACATTCTATATAGTGTGTTAAAGCCCTTGGTACCCAATCTATGCAAAATCTTCAGATCAACTATGTCTACATGCAAGAATGGGGTAAATTACACTAATGGACACCTAACTTCGCAGTTAATTTCATAAAGGTCACACAACTTTAATTTGTCATTTTTAATCACTAAACTTTGATGTTTGTTTCAACAGGAGGTCACTCATCAGAATTGCGTCATCAGAAATACTAACATGGTAATAAAAATAAAAAATTTTATTTTAAACAATTTGTATTTCTCCTAATACATTAATTTTGAATCTACCTATTAATTTTATTTAACAAATAATGTCATTTATGTGAAACAAGTTTTTAAAAAATAAATGAAAAAAAATTTCCACTCTATCATTTATATTTTTTAGCATTTTTCCTTTTGTTTTATATTCCTTCGTGATCATATTTTTTTATGATATATGCAATTTTTAGTGTTCATATTACTGTTCCAATTACCGGATTCCAATAAGAGACATCCCATTGAAACAAATTAAAGTTAAATGATTAGAAAATGACAAATTAAAAATATGTGACCTAAATAAAATTAAGTGCAAAATTAGGTGACAATTGGTATAATTTACCCTGCAAGAATGTGAAGATGACTGTGAAGACAAATATAACAGATTATGGATGTAAAAATTAGCTATTTTTAGGTGACATGGTGAGAAAGGACATGCAGGCTTTGGAAGAAACAATATCTTCATTAGATAAGTTCAACAGCAAAGTAGGTTGCACAACTTTAATTCCTAATGAAAAGGCTCTATTAGGTTAGCTAGTTAAAGTTATATTTTTTTTGTTTCCACTAATTGGAAGACAGAAAAAGAAAAAGAGAGAGAGAGAGGGAGAGAGAGCAATGATAAGAAAGGAAAAATCGAAAAAAAAAAAAGCTTCAACTTAAAAAGAACATTTTTTTTTTAATGGGATGAAGGTGTTGGGAGTTTGAACACCTGACTCCTTCACTACAAGGCAAAATTAAACCATTAAGCAATCAACCAAGTGCTTTTTTTTTTTTTTTTTTTCACAACTTTACCAATTCCTAATGAAAGGCTTCTATTAGGTAGCTTAGGTGTAAAGTTATAGTTTTTTTTTTTGTTTTCCAACTAATTGGGAAGACCAGAAAAAGAAAAAAGAGAGAGAAGATGATGGGAGAGAGAGCAATGATATAAGGAAAGGAAAAACGCAAAAAAAAAAAAGCCTTCAACTTAAAACAGAACATTTTTTTTCTAAAAAGATAATAGGGATAATGAGGTGTTGGCACTTTGAAAGCACCGTGACTCCTGCACTACAAGGCAAAATTAAACCATTAGCAATCACCAACGTGCGTTTTTTTTTTTGTTTTTGGGTAAGTCTAGTTTCCTTGCTTCAATTTGTTTTCTTTTTTTTATTTTATTTCTTTTTTTTTGAACATATTGAAATTGGAGCTTGATTTTCTAATGATTTTGGGAGTGATAGCAAATGCACAAGATATTTACTAGTTACTTCCTCAGCTAGATGATTCAGAAAAAAAGCACACACAGCCAACTGCAAAATGAAGATTCCAAGCACACTTCAATACAAGGACCAATAAGGCCCTGTTCAGCATACAACTTATTTTTTTTTTTTTTTGGTAATTAGTTCTTGCTTTCAATTTTTTCTTTTTTTTTTTTTTCTTTTTTTTTTGAATATTGAAATTGGCTTGATTTCTAGATAGATTTTGGGAGTGATAGCAAATGCACAAGATAGTTTACTAGTACTTCCCAGCTAATGATTTCAGAAAAAAAGGCTTTACAGTTGACAATTGCAATGAAGATTCAACACACTTCAATCAAGGACACTCCCTGTCAGCAACAACTTATAGGCTTACAGAGATATGCATCATCAACTTGAAAAGTTATATGAGTTCAGCCACTAGGATAGAGAGGAGAAATATTTGTTTCCCTTTAACAGGATTTGCAACTTTGTTATGCAACTATAGTCCCATTTATTCGTGGCTACATCTCAAATTACCTTGGCAAATTCAGATTTCTTAATCTCAAAGGAACAGATTTTATAGCATCAGGAGTCTACAGACAAATTTCATTATAAGCAAAAAGCTGCAAATGTGAAGCATTCAAGTTCATTCTCCGGTTATATACACAAGTACGTCTTTCAAACTTAAGGCTCCAGTCCCAAGAAGAAGCTGCTAATAACCATCTCAAGCCCAGTTCTATCTCCAACACAAACAATTTACTGGGTATGTATTCTCCTAATTGGAGAACCAATGCACATAAAGAAGGCCTAACTTTAATAGCTTAAATTACACCTGAACTCAATTAGGCACATCATAAGCTTCTCCTGACTGATTGATTCCAACTAAGGAAAATATATTGTTGTATGAAGCCTACTGATATGCCATGGTTAAGCATCTTGATTGAAGAATTCCTACTTCATATGGTTGATCATATTAAAACATGAATTTGTCAGTCAATTGGTGCAATTCAAAATGTATTGCATTTGACTCATTAGTGGTTGAAGTCTTAATTTTTAATCAAGTTTACACAGAATACAAAACCAAATCACCAACTTGATATTTACCTTCTAAGCTTCAACTAGAGTATGAAATTGGAACATTTATCACTTCTAGTCTTGCATCCCATCTAATCCAAATTCTATTGAAGCACCAATGAATTAGAAAACAAACCTTTGCAAATTCTTCAAGGTTGATATTCAGCTTCTTAAGCGCTGCTTCAGCAGTTGCCGGCACGTTAGCTGCATCATCATCACTGCAGTCTGATCTAGCCTCTGCACTGCTTGTCCATTCCTCTTCATTAACTGCATCATTTTCATCCTCAACCTCTGACTCTGAGGTAGACTCTTCCCCAGATACCGTGTTATCATCTGATTCACACTCAGATGAGCCATCACCAAAATCCTGCCCCAAAATCAACAGAATAAATAATCACAAAAAAACAAATGCAGAAAACGTCACGACATTGTAAAATTCATTCAAAAATTTTCCTAATCTCACATAAGGAGCGAGAACACTGCTATCAAGTACTAGTAATGGAACTTGAAGATCTCGAGCAAGTGCTCTGACGATTCTCTCCCGATAAAGCTCAGTACCTGTAGATAGCAACAGCATCATGATAATGAACACAGTAATAAGGCAGCAACAAAAATATTTCAGAATGGATGGCATGTAATGAACCTGGAACACTCTGAAGTAGTATTCTCCCACTTGAAGAAGTCAAACGAGACCCATATAAAGTAGTAAACTTTTTGTGTTTCAAATGGGAAGCAACACATTCCAGCAAAACACTTTTGTTATGCTCACTGCAAAGATAACACGAATCAAAAATTACACCTTTTTCTACTTCATAATAATTAAGTTCATAATTTAGAAAACTTGAAAGATAAGATAAATTACTTGACGTAGTAAGGAAAAGTCTCCCATGAAACATGAATTTTCTCCCAAGGAACAATCCTTCGCAAAAATTCATTTTTAAACCTATCACGTGTAGTCAAAAAAGGGGATTCCTTGTTTTTACTTTCTATAGTAAACTTCTCATTGTTAAGCCATTCCTTTTGATCTTGTTCGGCAAGCCAAGCATGAGCATCAGAGTCAATTGCCTCTCCATTGACAGTTCTTTTACTAGCCTTTCCATTATCAAAGTTGTTTCCATCTTTTACAGATGCAGATGCTTCTTTACCCTCACTTGTATTCCTCCCATCGCCTTGTGAACTATACAAGCGTAATTGACGACAATTGTTCAAACATGTAGGCCTAACGGATCTCTGCGATGATGAGAATGAATCTAATAGGTATTTTTGTATCAAAGTAGCATTCGAAAAATTGTTTCTCTCTCCATTTGAATAGCTAAAAGATCTAGAACAAGCATAATCAATGCAACTAGGCCTAATCGAATGTTTAGGTGGCACAAACATTGAACTCCATCTCTGATTTCTTCCCTTAATTCTCCTCGCATACATGGCAGCTTGTAGGCGCATGGAGCACATAGGGTGCTGCCGGTGGTCTATCGCCGGCGCGTGAATATACGCGTTGTTCTGAATATTGTTTTTAAAAAAAAAAAAAAAAACCAAAGTTTCGAAAAATCGGAGCGGTTGAAGGATAAAGGAGCAACTGGGGAACGAAAGCAAAGATGGCAGAATTAGGGCAAGGAGTTTAAATAGGATAAGATGTGGCGCCGTTTAAACAGGAGTGGGGCGTATAGAATTAGAATGGGAGGGGAAAACAGAAAGACAGTTGGATTAGGGCTTAAAGCTGTTTGGACCACCGCGTACTGTGCAGACGGAGTTCCACTCTAAAAAAAGTGTTCTAAATTTTTGGGGTAACCAATGCGTAGCACCCGCGTTTTGCCAAATACACTACTAACGATATTAATTTTTAAAACTATATAGTCTTTTGTAGCATGTGCACTGCATGTTAACTATAATAGTTATATGTTTATTTTTTATACCCGTCTAATTTTTATTTATATAATATTAAAATATAATTTCTTATTTAGATTGAATGGTTAAATTATATCACATTTTATTAATATAGTAAATTTTTTTTTTGGTTATATGTTAACATACTGATTCATACAGTTTTTATTATATACTAGTTGCTTTCATTTTCCTTTTTAAGGAAAAACCATTTATAAAAATCATCACATAGCTTCTATTATATGTTTTATAATTAATTTATATGTTTTTGTTAATAACTTTCATTATAATCTTTTGTAGTAAATAAATATACTTTAACAATAGAATAAAAAAACCAATCTAATTGATAGTCACAAAAATGTAATTGTAATACGAACAATAGTCCTTTAGTTCTATTAGATAAATTAAAAGTGACATTATCATTTCTCATAGAAAAAGTTTTTCTTTATATACATGATGAGAGTACGAGGTAGGTTACGTGATTACAGGAGAGCGAAATCTGGGCATTATCTCTTGAAATCATGCCCATATCCTTTTGTTCTGTTAAGGGGAGTGATCCTCGAATCCTAGTTAAATCGATGTTTATCACATGTCCTGCCCCTCGACAATATGAGATAATTGATGTTCGGGTTATAAGTCATGGTATTTATGCCCAGCAACAACCAGCTCTTCTATTTACATAGCCAATCAAGAGAACGTCTGAGCTATGTTGTGTTTTGAGAGGAAAGCGGCCTAGAAAAATGGCATTTACCAAACAGGATGTAGTCTTCTTTAAAGGTATGTGTTTGGCTGAGATATATTTAGGCCTAAAAATCAACCCATTCGGTTTATGAGTCCAAGGATAGGAGGCAACAGGGAATTACAGGATAAAATGTTGTGTAACCATCATTTTGATGATAGTTATGTTTTTGAATTTCAAAGGCGAACTTTCACTTATTGTGGTGCTTCAGTTCCTGGTAACGGTTCATAGGTTTTTTCTTACTATATAAAGGCTTGTGTCTGCATTTTTTGGGATTTTCTGTGATTGCGTCGTGATACCATTTTCTCTTTCAAAGTTGCCACTTGTTCTCTTATTCTTCAGGTAACTCTTATTACGCTTTTGTTTGTGATTTTAACTTTTCTTTCCCTATTTAATCAGAAAATTTAGCTTTTTGAAAATGAGTTTTGACCATCGAAATAAGGGTAAGGCACTTGCCCATGAGTCTTCTGACTCCCTGGGTCTTGGGGGCGAACGAACTGGTTTGGGGGAGGATAATTTCATTATGGGTGTGGTAGGTTTTGAGTCAGACTCAGAAGAGGAGATTCAATTAGTAAGGTGAAAGTTGCGAGAAATGCCTGTTTTTGTCTGTCAACGCGACTCAGGTTCAGCTTCTAACACTAGCACTATATTTTCCATTCCTCAGTTACGAGATGAGACTACTCCCGAGCAATCTCCTAAATCTAGGGAATAGGGAGCTGCTCATCCTAGGCAACAGAATATGAGGGTTAGGGATTTGGAATCCATACTAACTGAGCAGGATCTGAAAGGTATTCATGCTCGATTTTTTATCGAGCAAAATATACAACGAGAGTTCCTCCTGCAAGGATAAGAGCTAATGTTAGGTTAGACAAAAAGACTTTGATTGTTTACATGGAAGATTGCCATGCTGGAGTGAGGTTTCCTTTGCCAAGGATTCTCTCCTCTTTTTACAATGAGTGTGGGACGACTATTAGTCAAATTGTGCCCAACAGCATTTAGATGATACTGGCGCAGATATCCTAGCTCAGCAAGAAAAATTTGAGCTTAATGTGCATCATCTTCATGCCATGTTCAACTTCCTTTGGAGGGGGTAGAAGACCACCCTCATTTGAAAGCTAGGAAAGATTGTAACATTTTTCCCTTGAAGAGTTCATTGATCAAGGGAAGATGGAAAGAGAAACACTTTCTCATCAGTCATTGATAGCCTCGCAAAGCGGGCAATTTTGTTATGTTATTTTTGCATAATTTGCATGATTGCATGTTGTTTTTTATACATTTTACGTTTTCTCGTGTTGTCTTTTTGTTTTAAAAGTAATTGTAGGAATGCAATTTGAGCAAAGGAATGAAAAGGCTTGCTTTTATAGAAAAAGAGGACCAAAAGTTGACTAAGTATGGAAAAACCCGCCTAGAAGAATTCGCGACGCGAATGAAGTCGCGCTGCAAAGGAAGAACTGATAATTTGCGAGCAAATCCTGATATGCGCGAGCGCAACTTATGTGACAGAAAACTCAGAAGGCACCAAACACAAGTCGCGAGCGCGACATTAAACTGCGTAAGCACGAAAAGCACTCCAGAAGAGGCAGAGACTTTATAAGCAAAGATCGCGAGCGCGACCCTAAAACTCGTGAGCGCGAGTCGTGTTTCCAGGAGACGTCAACTGCTGCCCTTTCACTAGAAAATCATGTCTTCCCATGCACAGGTTGGGACTTTTCCCAAGAGGAGTCATCTGAAGTACCTTTTAGCCAACCAACCAGCATCACAACCAACATCATCCTCCTCTTCTATAAATAGCAATCCAAATGAAGGAAGAAAGACATTCAGATTCAGAATCACTCAGAAAAACTCAGAAAAAAAGAAGAAAAAGTTAGTAGTAGAAAAGTGCAATAGTAGTACTTAGAAGTAAGTTGACGAGAGTCACTTATTATTGTTTGTGCAAAGAACACCAAGAAGTTCCTCGAGGTGTGACGCCCTCCGAAGGCTTGAGTTCTGAAGTACCTTTTAGCCACCAACACAAAGCATCACAAACCAACTCATCCTCCCTCTTCTAATAAATAGCAATCCAAATGAAGGAAAGAAAGACATTCAGATTCAGAATCAACTCCGAAAAACTCGACAAATAAAGAAGAAAAAGTAGTAGTAGAAAAGTGCAATAGTAGTATTAGAAGTAAGTTGAGCGGAGAGTACTTAATTATTGTTTGTGCAAAGAACACCAAGAAGTTCCTCGAGGTGTGACGCCCCTCCGAAGGCCTAGCTTTGATTAACTCTCTATCAATTCTCTTGTTTTATTAAAGACTTGTTGTAAATGTTGCTTTCTCGTTACTGTTTCTATACAAAAGCAACAATATCAATTGGTTTCATTCTAATAAAAAGTCTCATTGTAGAATTATCTTTTAATCTTTTGTTTAAATCAAATTTTGCTAAATTATATTTCTCAGAAAGAAAATAATTTTGAGTAAAGACGGATCAAGAAGATAAAATGTTCATTTAGTTGAATTTGCATATGCCACCTTTCAACTTGTTTTTGTCAAAGTTAAATCTGTCTTATTGAAATAGATGAGACGATAAGAAACTAGGTTTAATATTTAGACAAAGTAAGGTAAACTAGGTTTAATATTTAACAAAGTAAGGTATTTATTATAAGTAGAAATACATATAATAAATAGAGTAATTCTATACCGAGAGGTTGAATTATATTTGATTATATGTGATTAAAGAATCATTTATTGCATGTTACATGCTTTGCTATAGAAAAAGAAAATCATGTGCATGATCAATTTTTCTAAGTAAACTACTACACATTTATCTACAGAATTAAGTAACATTTAATTTTAACATAACTAGGATTGTAATTTAATCATTTCACATATGTATTGCTGTAAACATAAGTGTTAAGAATAAGTAGTAAAGTGGACATATCCCGTTCCTCGTGGGATCGATCTTTTTATTACTACGTTGCGATCCATATACTTGTGGGTAATCAAAGAAGACGCAACAAGTTTTTTGCTCCGTTGCCAGGGAACGATGTTTTGTCATTTAACAAAACATTCTTATGTGTGATTTACAGCTTATTTTATTTTATTTAGACTTTTGATTCAAAATTTTACAGGAGCACATAAATTAAATAACTTATATACCAAGTACCAGATCTTCGAACAATGAGATTGAACAGTTCTTCTCAAAACAGAAAAAGAAAAAGAAAAGAAGAAATTCAAGAATCATGGCTGAAGGAAACCCACCACAGAGGTTGATGGATTACGTTACTCCAAGTCTAAATGGTGCACAGAAAGGAGTAGTACGTCCACCGATAAATGCTAACCAGTTTGAGATTAAACCTGCTTTATTACAAATGATCCAAAATAGTGTTCAATTTTACGGATTACCAAACGAGGATCCTAACTCTCACATAGCCAGTTTCAATCCTAAACTCTCACATAGCCAGTTTCCTGAGACTATTTTGATACATTTTATAAATGAATTAGTGCCACAGACGCTATTGTTGACGTGTGGTCTTTATCCCCACCTAACCCAATGATGGATACGAGACGCAGATATACTGATGGGCACACGGCTATCCGAAGTCGCTTTTAACCCAAGGATTTAAATTAACTAGATTTAAAGGTGTCTGATTCACATAAGTGAGGACTTTGCGTCACGCAACTATTAGGTGTCGTGACGGCAAACGTCGTCTGCGTCACGCAAACTCGCAATCTGAGATGGACGTCACCAGAGGTGAAGTAACAATAACTGTTTTTCAATTCCTGTATTGAAGTACGTGCAACGGTCTAGAAAGTGAGCCTGCCATCACACAGTCTACCTCGGGTCCGTCACGCACCGTAGAGGCGCGTGGATCGCAGCTCATCGCCCTGTTGCCCTACCTCTATACAATAACATCATATTTAATCTCTTTATATCGGGACAAGATTTTTAAAGGGCGTAGAAACATACACTTGCGGCTAAGGCTTTCTCTAAAGACCTGTTTCTGATTAACCTTGAAGACAAAACAACCATTAGACCATCCATTAGGTTAAAACGAAAATCATAAAAAAGAAGAAAAAGAAAGAGAGAAAAAGAAGTGAGCGTTAAGATCCTGGTGGGACAGAGCTTCTGGAACCCATTAACCCTTCAATTCTTAAGGCTGTTCAAGCTGTTTACAATCCTC